GGCCGTGGGAACTGAACCCAGGTCTTCTGGAAAAGCAGGCAGTGCTCACCACTGAGCCATCTCTCTGTCCCTCACACTCATTTTTAAATGGCTTAACTTCATCTGTGTGAGTTGGCCAGAGATCATTCCTCAGGAGGCACCTACCTTGAGGTATTTTCTGAGACCGGATCTCACTGAGACCTAGGGTGCCCATCTGGGCTAAGGTAACTAACTGGCTGGTGAGCCTCAGGGATCCACCCGTCTCCTGGCCCCTGCACTGGGGTTACTTCTGCGGCTCCATGTCCTACTTTTTATATGGATATTTTGGCTCAAACTCAGATCCTCCTGGACTTCACCAATTAAGGTACCTTCCAAGCCCCTGCTTCATCTTTCAAGTTTTAACATAAAGGTTAGCTCATACTATCTCTTGGTATTTGTTATATGGCATGCTCATGTGACAAAGTACCCTCACCCCAAAAAGGTTTGATTCAAATTGACTTAAAAATATTTAAGGACTCATGTATACCTAGTCCAAATTCTCTCAGTTTGTAATGTGATATGGATTTTAGTGCAAAATCTCCAACTGACAGCTCTTCTGAGCTTGGCCACCTGTCTCAATGTGTCAAGAGTTGGGTAACACTGAGGGTCGAAGAGGAAATTTCAATAGAGTAACGTTGGGAGAGACAAATGGAGGGGTCCAGTGGCCCCCAAGTCCACTGTGAGGTACTGATGTGAGTTTTCAATTTGAGTAGAGAAAAAGAAAAAATGGCACAAAGGTCAAGAGCTATACATGAGACAGTCTTAGGTGAGGTATGGTCTTGATCATTGTCCGAGTTCTCATTCTGTGGGGCCCTAAGAAGTCCTCTGCTTGAGGAGACAAGCTGGTTCTCGAAGATGTCCTCTGTCCCAGGACGCAGATGCATCTTCGTAGATAATTGCCCTCATATGAGGGATGGTTTATCCTGGGAAGCTTTGCTGTCCCTGGAATCCAAGGTGACGACAGCAGGTTTAAAATAATCACTTGCTTTCATGTTTTCATTAAAATTAGCAACTCAGTGGATTGATGTACTTATATATTAATGGCATCACATCTTAACAGGATTAGATTTTATCTCAACACCTTCTTCAGAAGGACAGAAACATCTTCCTGCTACAGAAATGTTCCTGAGAAAAGAGAATACAGAATGAGACAGATGCCACACTTTAATGCTGCTTCGTTCTGCTTTGTGAACCCAAATGAGAAGTCAGTGCTTTTTTAGCAAGGTCAGTTTCTGAGTGCCATAAGATTTAAATCTTCAACAAATTAAATTTGATTTCTGATCTACCTACCTCTGAACTCCCAAGTGCTGGAATTACAAACAGCATGCTTACAGGAAACCACGCCCAGTTTATGTGGTACTGGGAATTGACCCTAGGATTTCATCCATGCTAGGCAGGCACTCTCCCACCTGAACAAACCCCATTCATGTTGACATCTTTTGCCTGTACTGCACATCTAGATTGTTGTGAAAATAAAGTAACTTTGTTAAGAAAACACAAAACGTTTTAAAAAATGAGTGTAGCAGTACATGCCTATAATCCCAACATATGCCTTTTAAATAAATACACAGCAAGTTTGAGGCCAGCCTGGGTTACAAGAGACCCCAACAAAACAAGAACACTTTTGGAGAAGAAAGGTTTTTAAAGCTGTGAACTACTCCTGTCCTAAAGGAAAGAATTTCCCCCATAGATGGAAAAGGTGAGGACAAAACTAGAAAGTCAAAGTAGACTATAAAACATTTGTGAAAGATAACTTATGACCCCAGCACACAGGAGGCAGAGACAGGCATATCTCTGTGAGTTCAAAGCCAGCCTGGTCCACATAGGGTTTTAGGCTTGAGTTACAGTGAGACCAACTTTAAAAAAAAGGAAAAATTCCTGCTGGTACACACCTGTAATCCCAGCTACTCTTGAGGCTGCTGCAGAATTAGTGGGGCAACCTGTTCAATTTAGTGACACCTTATCTCAAAATAAAGAGTAAAAACCAATTTCTTAGGTCAAAATTAAAAACAATGATAAAGAAGCTCAGAGTTCCACAACCAGATTGGCAGGAAGCAGAAATAGAGACACTGGGCCTGGCTAGAGCTTCTGAAGCCTCGACTCCCCTGTCCCCCACTCCCCCATTTCCTCCAACAAGGTCACACCTCCTAATCCCTGTCAAGTAGCACCATTCTCTAAGGATCAAGCTACCATCCTGAAAACAAAATAAACCATCCTGAAAACAAAATAAGAAACTCTAAGGATCAAGCATCTAAATATGTGAGCCTATGGGGCCATTCCTATTCAAACCAACATAAAAGTAAAGCCCAGCATTCTACTTACACTAAATAGGTATCTTTCCATTTAAAAACTGAATTGAAGAACAAGTCTGTTTTGTCCCTCTCCCCATGGGGCATTCAATACCTGATGATTAAATTTTATACAAATATTTCCTAGATAAGGATAAAAATAGATCTCAATCTAAATTCACATGTTTTCTGATTGGGTTGAAGTCTTCCTTTGTCAGAAAAGCTATCATCAAAGCAGTATGAAAAAATATATTACAGGGGCTGGAGAGATGGCTCAGAGGTTAAGAGCATTGCCTGCTCTTCCAAAGGTTCTGAGTTCAATTCCCAGCAACCACATGGTGGCTCACAACCANGTTCTGAGTTCAATTCCCAGCAACCACATGGTGGCTCACAACCATCTGTAATGGGGTCTTGTGCCCTCTTCTGGCCTGCAGACATACACATAGACAGAATATTGTATACATAATTAATAAATAAATAAAATTAAAAAAATATGTTACAAAGAATTATTTATTTATGGTGCTGGAGAGACAGCTCAGTGTTTAAAAGTGCTTGCTGCTCACTGGCTGCTCATCACAAATGGATTCAACTTCAGCTTCAACCTCAAAAAAAGAATAATTTTTAAAAATTGGTACTGGGAGCTGGGTGGTGGTGACACATGCCTTTAATCCTAGCACTCAGGAGGCAGAGGCAGGCCTGGTTTACAGAGAGAGTTCCAGGACAGTCATGGATATACAGAGAAACCAAGTTTCAAAAAAACAAAACAAAACAAATTGGGACTTGGGGCTGGAGAGATAACTCAGCTGTTCAGAGCACTTGCTGACCTTGCAGAGGACTTAAGTCAGGTTCCCAGCACCCATGTGCTGGTTTTCAAACATTGTATGTAACTCCAGCTCCAGGGGATTTGACTCCCTCTCCTGGCCTCCCTAGAGACTACATGTACATGGTGCACACACAGGTAGATAAACACTCATACACATAAAATAAAATCTTAAAAAATGAATTCTCAAGGTTCCCATAGTATAGTTATCAAGAACTGAAAAATGCTTGTGTTGGAAAATAGATGAGCAAGTATATTAAAGCCCCATTTTCTTCTCTGATTGTAGAATGTCATGTTCACAGAACCTATAGACTCCTGATTCCTCACTTTGGTTTCCTGTCTGTATCTTTGTCACTAATATTTAGCATATGAGGAAAGAACAATTTTGTTGGGAAAAAATTAAAAATACTAAAATTAAAAACTACATTGTCTGATTTCTGTAATGTGATTATTTATTTGCTTCCTGCAACCAGAATCTGATGTTAATACCAACAGGACAAATTATTAGTGCATTAAAGACTAATGTTTCCTAAAATTAGAACTGGCTACTTCTCATGAAGCTCTGGTTATAGAATCCAATCGGCCATTTGAAAAACTAAAACAATAATAAATTATTTCAAATACTACAAATAGCAAATAAAGCATTTCACAGAATATAAATGACAGATGGCTAGGGGACACACACTCTGGATAGAATATTACTTTTACGGGGTGTGGTACATGGCTGTAAACCCGGAACTCAGGAGGCAGAGGCAGGAGAATCCAGCTTGAGGCCTGACTGGGCTACGTGGTTATGCAGATCTGGCTGGAGTGAAATGGCTTCTCCTGTCTTTTTTCATCTTGCTGTGTAGTCCTGGCTGACCTGGACCTCACTATGGAGACCAAGCTAGTCTCAATTGATAGAGCCAAGCTTTTTCTGCCTCCTGGCTGTGGGACTGAAAGGCATACATCACCATGTCCCCCTTGTCCTTTTGGTTTTAATTTCTATCTCCTGGATTACCACTCGAGACTAAGAAACGTTTTTTTGGTCTACATGAATTGTTTTTCTATTTTTGTTTGTTTTGTTTTGGAAACAGGAGTTATATAATCTTAGCTGTCCTGGAACTCACAAAGATCCTCCTGCTTCTGGTGTGCTGGGACTTAAAGGTATTACCTTTAATTACCACATCTGGCTAAATTGTTTATTTCAAAAGATGACTCGTCCTCAGTTGTACCAACTTTCATGTGAACATACTAATTCATGGCTAAGTTGGCTGCTCATTTGCTGAGAATTACCACTAGCTTACGCCACACAATGAACAGAGCCTCTTAATCAGGTTCAGTAGAATTCACAAGGTATCAAAGACCATCAATTACCCTTTGGTGAGACAATCACATCAAATACAGTGGGCTTTTGTGGGTGGGGTATGTGTGAGGGAGTATAGACACGCAGGCCAAATGACACCTCAGGAGTTGTTCTTCAACCACGGTCCACTTTTTTTTTTAAGACAGGTTCTCTACCTGGAAGTAGCTGTAAGTTAGGTTGGCTGGGAGGGCGGGCAGTGATCTACTGATCTGTCTCCTCAGTTCTGGGATTACAAGAGCATGCCACCCTTCCCTAGTTCTATATGTCAAACATTGAACTGACTGAGCTCTTTAGCGGGACACCTCCAGTCGGCACAGCAGTGTTCCTAACCGGGTGTCTGGGTGGCAATACTGTACTAGAGATCAGAAGCTGGAACTGAATTGTGCTTATTCACTGACCACAGAGTCTGACTACCAGGATGATTCAGATTTGTGTCTCAGTAGAAGCTGGAGTCATCTCAAGCTTCAATTCTCTGGAGTTGTGAGCAAGCAGTTGAGACAAAACACGTTAACTCTTTGAATGCCAAGCGTTGTCTGTACTTTCTTTTATTATCATAATAGTCTTTGAGTCAAGGTACATAGCAATGATAGCAGGTTTCTTTTTAAAGCTTAGTATTAAATATTAAATATCTTCCCCATTTTAATTTTACATTACTCTGCCAAGAAAAAAAAAAGGTTTTAAACTCAAGTTATTTGAAGCCTGGACATACTTCCATGATTAGCCGGGCTACATCAAGGCGGGGGCTTTGTTTGTCCTGCCATATAAGCAGGTCTAGGCCCTAGAAAGACGGAACCAGGTTATAATTGTTTTTGAAAAGTGTGCTACAAAAACGGATGGCCTGTTATCAGCCAGGTTACAAAGTAAGGATGGGGGTGAGGGAGGGATATTTTCTTCAAGAAAAAGCAAAACATAATTTCTGAAGAATCCCAGTTCATATTTTTTTCCCCAAAATGGCTGGAGGAATGGGTGAAATCTCAACATGAGCTTCATAGTCCTATCTTTGAAGGACTAGCAGTCCTTGCTGAGGTGGCTGCTGAGAAGGTGGCTCCCAGTCAGGGGATGGGAAGGGGAGGTTTATTGCCCGGTGGCTGTGACAGTGAGCTGAAGCTGACTGGTACTCACTTCTCTAAGGTTTCTTCTAGAAACAGACAACTCAGATTCTCCCTCTTACTTCAGCAAAGAAGTTATTTTTAAAAGCACTTGGGAAGTTCCTCCTCCACCCTCAGTGGGAAGGATCAGAGAAGGGAGTCGTCGGTACAGCCACCTTCCAGGCCGTAACGGAATTCCTGAAGGTTGGAGACCCCATAGAAGTGGACGAAAGCCGCTGCCACCACCAGGACGTGGAAAATCTGATGAGACTGGAACTGTGGAAGTAAACAGAGAGCCACCTTGAGGACTGAGAGGAGTGGGAGGAGCACCTGTCTCCCCTTAAAAACTGTCTGACATCACAGAAGTGATACTTGCTATAAAACATTACAAAAAAACTATGTGAGAGACATCAGGGTTAATTCAGGTTATCCTCTTCCTTCAGACACAACGCACAGCCAAATACTTCATGACCCAAATCTCTCAGCATCTTTTACTCAGAGCTTTGGCCTTGGGTCAGTCACTCGCCCTGCTAAGAGTCATTTCTTACCCATATGTCAAATTTTCCAGGAAAGAAGCGCTCAGGAATCCGAGCAGCATACAGGCCAGCTCCAGTGATGTACATCACAGCCATGAGGAAGAACCAGCCCATCTGGCCCACAGTGGTGGCCTTGACAAAGCCCTCAGCGATTGTAAAGTGCATGGTGGGTACAACACCACTCAAGCCAAGTCCCAGGAACACGCCTGAACAGAACAGACAGGACTGTCAAACAGGAATCACTACATGGAAGGCGCTGCTTCAAATCTGGAATTTATGTATTTATAAAAACTATTTTCTGATGAATATTACAAGTTTAGAGAATGCTGGCAAAGAGGACTAACAGTCAGCAGACAGCTCTTGTAGGCTGAAGGGATCCTGTGCCCTCTTTTGGCATCCGTGGACACCTGCACACACACGGCTGACAGACTCACACATATATACAAATAAGATAAACAAGGTGGGTGGAGCTAGCTGGTAGTGAACTCCTTTAATCCCAGAACTTGGGAGGCAGAGGAAGGTAAGATCTCTTTCAGTTCCAGGCCAGCCTATCTATATATTGGGTTCTGGGCCAGCCAGGGCTACCTAGTGAGATCTTTTCTCAAAACAAAATTTGAAAACATAGACACACACTCACACCCGAGGTTCTGTCAAAATCATCTGATGGCTGACAGGGTACGGATCATAGATGGCTAGACTCAGAGGCTCCAAAGTCAGAAGAGTAGGCTTTCCATTAAATCATAGAAGGATGAAGAGATGGCTCAGTGTGAATAGTGTTTGCTGCTCTTCCAGAGACTTCCCAGTTTAGTTCCCAGAACCGAGGGTGGGCGACTCACAACTGCCTAGAACTCCAGCTGCAGGAGATTTGACATTCTCTTCTGGCTTCCATGGGCATGGGTACAAGTACACACTAACAGAGACTCATAATCATAAATAAATGATCTTTTTTTTTAAAGGGATCATTAAAACACCTGCACAGGATCAAGCCAGTCAAATTTCAGCATGGATAGGAGAGAGGCTCACAAGTCCCACCACGGAGAAGCTGTGACAGTTGAAGGACACTGGTAAAGGCAGTCAGCTTTCTTTAAGGGGTGCAGCCACTGGAAAGTTGTCTAGGCTTCAGTGGATGGCCACATACTCATGCACATATGGGCACAACTAACTGGACTCAACATGCCATTTGAAAAAATAAAAAGGAAAAAAAGGACGTGAAGTTGAATGGGGGACAGGATGGAGAAGGTCTGGAAGGAAGCTGGAGGGAAGAATACATAGAATCAAAATACACTGTATACAAGCATGAAATTCTTAATAAAATTTACATTTTTAAAACTTGTTTTATCTTTGTTTTTTGAGACCGGGTTTCTCTGTGTAGCTCTGACTGGCCTGGAACGTGCTCTGTAGACCAGGCTGGTCTCAAACTCAGATTTGCCTGCCTCTACCTCCCAAGTACTGGAATTAAAGGTGTGCATCACCACAGCCCAGCTACAATTAACATTTTTCAAAAATCATAAAAAGACTGAAGTAACCAGGTCATCTGAGTAGAGAGAAGTTCCAGATGAGCAGCTACCTGGAACTGCAAGGACACACAAGTAACAATGAAGAATGAGCACTGTCCCCATCCTGTACACAACCAGGGCGAGGACTGTCTTCTCTACTTGCAGATGCCCTTGTTTAAACAAAGAGTTAGTGCTCAATTAATATTGCTTGTAGCTGAAGATGAAAAAACAGCATACGCTGGACAGTGGTGGTGCACGCTTTTAATCCCGGGACTTGGGGGGGGGGGGCAAAGGCAGGCGGATCTCTGTGAGTTCAAGGACAGCCAGGTTTACAGAGAAACCCTGTCTTGAAAAACTGGAAAGAGAGAGAGAGAGAGAGAGAGAGAGAGAGAGAGAGAGAGAGAGAGAAGAGATGGCTGTAGAGAGATGGCTCAGCAGTAAGAGCACTGGCAGCTCTTTGAGAGGATGAGGATGTCCCAGTGCCCCCATGGTAGGTGATCCAATCCTCTTCTGACTTCTACCAACACCAGGCATGCAAGTGGTGCATAGACATACATATGGACAAAAGAACCCTACACGTAAAATAAACTAAAAAAAAAGGTAAGGGTTCTGAAAACTAATAGTAACGGAAAGACTCTAGATGAGGCAACATAAGGAAGATGTCTAAATGCTTGTTGCTATTATATTAGTTGCTACTAATCTTTGTGCTTAAGATATTTTATTCACAATTCCTGGTAAAATGCCCCACGGTATGTAAATTTTTTGTTTGTTTATTTTTTTCAGACAGGGTTTTTCTGTAGCTTTAGTGCCTGTCCTGGAACTAGCCCCCCCCCCCCTTTTTTTTTTGCTTATTTTGAGACAGAATCTTGATCTGTATATAGTCTACACTGCCTAGGAACATATACAATCCTCCTGCTTCACCCTCCCAAATACTGGGATTATGGGCATGAACACCACACTTGGCTTGGGTATGTCAATTTTCATTCCCTTGTCTGAGTGCTTAGAATTCAGTCACTAAAATGACTGTACTTGATACACATTCCAAACATCCCCCCACCCCAGGGTTTCTCTGTGTAGCCCTGGCTGTCCTGGCTTGCTTTGTAGATCAGGTTGGCTTTGAACTTCTGATCCAGGCACCTCTTGAGTAATTGGGGTTAGAGTAGTGTTTTTCAACCTGTGGGTCGAGACCCTTTTGGGGGATGTTCAGCATTCCTTTCTCATAGGTCACCTAAGACCATTGGGAAACACAGATATTTATATTTCATAACAGTAGCAAAATTACAGTTGTGAAGTAGTAACAAAAATCATCATCCCCCACCCTCGCCCCCTCCGC